TCTACTCTACTCTACTCTTTCCACATTCTATTCTATTCTATTATTCTATTCTTTTCATATTATATTCTACTCTACTCTACTCTACTCTTTCCACATTCTATTCTATTCTATTATTCTATTCTTTTCATATTATATTCTACTCTACTCTACTCTACTCTTTCTATATTCTATTCTATTCTATTCTAGTCTATTCTACTCTACTCTTTCCACATTCTATTCTATTCTATTATTCTATTCTTTTCATATTATATTCTACTCTACTCTACTCTTTCTATATTCTATTCTATTCTATTCTAGTCTATTCTACTCTACTCTTTCCACATTCTATTCTATTCTATTCTATTATTCCATTCTTTTCATATTATATTCTACTCTACTCTACTCTTTCTATATTCTATTCTATTCTATTCACTATCTGGAATTTATAGATGCAACCTATTTGAAGGCATTCAGATCATGATGAGTTGATCTTTGAGGATGTTCTGTGTGATAAATATCACAGGTGAGGTGTCTCAGCTGCCTTACTCTCCCCTTAGGCTGTTCTTTTTATTTTTACAAAGCGAACGATTCCACTTACACCAGGAGAGGCTGATCAATTTTACTCACATTTTACGCAGCTGGGGAAGTTTCTTAAAGATCCCTGTGGCTTCCAGCACTGTAAACTCATTGTTATTGAGTCTCCTGTAAATGGAAACCATAATAAATATGTATGTTCATGTCTTTAGTAAATCTGTGCAAAAGCAGCAATTAATAACATGCTGTCAAATTTTGAGACGGGGAAAAAAAATTGACCACCTGGTGAAAATAAGCAGACGTCGACTGACTGCAGGTTTTCATACGGCAGCTGGGAGCAGTAAAGCATCGTGGTTTTATTATCTCAAAAACGAATATCATATAACGGTTAGAAACAATAAGACAGGCATTCACTGCGAGAGATGCAGAAATCAAGACACTAAGCAAGTTATGTTTATAGTTATTTATGGATTTCCTTATCTGGGTTTACATTTGTGCAATAAGCAAAACCTATTGGCTGGATTACAAAAATTCGTAATTTAAACAAACTTCAGATGTTAATGAAAAACCCTGCTTAATGAATCTCCCCAAGGCAAACAGATTCCATATGATTTGAATAAGTGGATTGGAGTGCCTATCCCTCCAATTGAAGAAGATGTGTCTGTTCTCAGGTCACGAGTTATTACTGTCCTTTCCCAAAATAATTGACAGGTCGACTCAACCGGACGTTACACAAAGTTTCTGCTCACCTCCCTTCCTAAGAGCCAAGGTGGCGCAGTGGTTAAATGCAGCACTGCAGGCTACTGCTAGATCAGCAGNACATATGCGCTAGTCGTTCCTGACTCTAGGGGGCGGTGCTCATCTCCGTTTCAAAGCCGAAGAGCCAGCGCTGTCTGAAGACGTCTCCGTGGTCACGTGGCCGGCATGACTAAACGCCAAAAGCACACGGAAGGCTGTTCCCTTCCCGCCAAAGGTGGCTCCTATTATTCTACTTGCATTTTTTACCTGCTTTCGAACTGCTAGGTTGGCAGAAGCTGGGACAAGTCACAGGAGCTCACTCCGTTACGCGGCACTGGGGATTTGAACCACCAAACTGCCGACCTTTCTGATTGACAAGCTCAGCGTCTTATCCACTGAGCCACCACGTCCCTTAAAACTCAAACTTATCCCCAAATGACAACCTCAAAACTTGGGTTCTCATTAACAACAGAAAACCCCTCCAGTCTGTAGTCGAAACACCGATTCCCCTTCTCCGAAAAGTCCATCCAAAATAGGCAGTTTTGGCTTGGAGCTTAGAGATTATTTAGAAACAATTTAAAGATGTCACAGTCCTGACTTTCTGTCAGACTATCTACACCTGATAAATATAGTAATATATTAATATAGAGATGAAGGCTGATTGCCTTGTATTATTAAGCTTAACCTGACAATTGTTCTTACTTTAATTTGTCTCCTCAAGATTTCCATCCTTGATTTGCTCCCCAGAATGCCTTTTTCCCATCTGAACTGACAGCCAGTTGATTACGTGTCACTTATACAAATGAATTTGCCTGCAGAAGTTTTGGGACTGACCACGTTTCAGGAAAGACCTTTGACAATTTCATTATTTATAAACATGCCATCTTAAATAGGCACGAATTAGTCATCAGGGATAACTTGTCACGTTTCAAGCGGAAAGAGAATTAAATGCATTGGCAATTACGTGTCTCAGGAATTCTTACCAGAGAAACTTGTGTTTTTAATATAGCACATTTTTTTCTCCATCCCCCTTTCCCATTGATTGGTTTTCCTTCCAGTAAAAATAAAACAATTTGAAGACCAGGTGATTCTATGATTCTAGAAAAGGTCACTTCAAAGAAAGAAAGAAAGAAAGAAAGAAAGAAAGAAAGAAAGAAAGAAAGAAAGAAAGAAAGAAAGAAAGAAAGAAAGAAAGAAAGAAAGAAAG